GATACCTTAACGTGGTTAGTCGTTGTCAATACGTCAGCTACACATTTCCTTTCGAGTGCAACATGGATAACAACAAAGAGCTCAAGAATGCAAGAGGATAGCGAAATAAATTGCGAAAACGAGTGATTCGTAAAAAATATCGCTTTAAAAACCGGCAAAATAGAAGAAGATACAGCATTGGAGAATTCTATAATATTTAAGCCTATCGTCGAACTTCTAAAACAGATTGTCGAGAACACTGTTAATGATAAATCTCAATCAATTAAGAAAGAAGTCAACGTTGTAAAAGATAAAAATATTAAGAAAAGAAGACCTGAAGATAATGAAGATGTTCAAGATGATGATGATGATGATGATGATGATGATGATGATGATGATGATGATGAAGATGATAATGATGATGATGACCTCTGGGATGGGTGAATTCATGGCTTCAATTAACACGAATTATCGTACGAATGTTTCTTCATTCGAAGACGTCAATAAGTCGCTTCAAACGTTAGTTAAACCATCTTTGCAAACGCGGCAAGTTTATGAGGAGTTGCATAATCAATTGGGGGCACTTGGACAAAAATATGTAAACATTCTTCTCAGTGGTGACAGAGAAAAGACGATTGATCATGTTTATGTTATTATACCAACGAGAATTTGTCACTATGCTCAGTGACAAATATTTCGACACAAATGACTTTGTGATCGTAAATGGAGTAAAGTACACCTGGTTTGTACGAATTAATTTTCAAAAGAATTCCCGACAATACTATTTACACAGAGAATGCTAAACTAGCATATAAAAGTATACTGTTAGCAACGAATGCTCATAGGCACAATCATAAAGCGGATAATCCAATAGTGGGCAGCAAAGGGTACAAATATAAGAATAGCACCCTTGTCAGGTAAAATATAAGTTGGAATGGGCACGCGCCAGGAAACTAAACAACAAGTTAGGTAAAAGAGTTGGAAAAGGTGTAATACCACGCACCATGACCTTAAACGACAATAAAATTGATTATGTTCATTGGGACTATTCAAACGAGCTAGTGGATCGTCTCCGATTGTTTGAGATCTTACGTCAGACAGGTCACAATGCCCATGATAACAAAATATTATCAAGGAGCTTCGTGAAGCTGGCTTTATTAAAAATTGAAACGAGATACATAATCATTTTAGTTGACATCAAAATGCCGATGAACAACGTTTACGTTTAAGAACTTTGTGATATTTTATGCATACAACAATAATCATAACATAACATGTCTGAGAAGAAAAGCTTCGAAAAGTGGCGACTGGTGGAAGAACTGCACGCTCCGACGAGAAAAAATTTTCCACGCAGACGTGTCATAGTTTATGGATACGATGACAGCCTGAGGCAGGCTGATATGGTCGAGATGCGCGCTTACACACGATTCAACAAAGATTGCCACTACATTCTCACCGTTATCGATGTGTTGAGCACGCATGGGCCGTATCACTGAAAACCAAGAGTGGAAATGAGATGGCTACAATGATCGCAAAGATAATTCGAGATGATGGAAGATGTTCGAAAAATTTGCAAACCGATATGGAAAAAAAATTTTACAATGTAAACGTGCAAAAACTCTTGAAAAAACACAACATAAATTATTATTCAATATATTCCATAATGAAGGCATCTGTCGTTAAACGGTTCAATCGTATTGAAAAACGATATGTGGAAACAATTTACGCACAAATTATAAATGGAAATTATAAGTGGAAATTATAAATAGATTGACTTGCTATCGTGTCTAAGTACAACGCGCGAAACTACCGGTATGCGGCCTATCAATGTAACTCCCACGATTGCTCTTAAGACAAACTCTTAAACACGATGTACAGTAGCGTTGCACTCCCGCGATTCAAAATGGGTGACTCGGTACGTGTGAGCAAATTCAAGACGATCTTTAAGAAAAGTTACACGTCAAATTGGACCACGAAGTGTTTAGAATCGTCAAAATACAAAAAACTAATTCTGTGACGTATCTACTGGAAAATTACCGTGGAAAATCGGTCGCTGGAGGACTCTATGAGTATGAGTTGCATCGCGTCGCTAATCCCGACGTATAGTCCCCTAGTTGAAAAGATGTTGCGTAAAAAAGGAGACAAGGTTTACATGAAATGGATTTGATAATTTGCACAACTCTTGAGTACACAAGGATAGTGTGTCATAAAAATAAAATTTATTACAAATTGTATAATTATTTTTTTTCCTATGTAAATATGTATTAAATATAAACGCAATGTACATGTTATACACATTACATATTACATATGCATACGTACACACGTACATACATATATATCATACGTACATACATACATATGTATATACATATATACAAACGTACCATACATAATATACATATTATACGTACTATATATAATATATATAATATACATATTAAATATACAATATTATACATCATATACAAGTGTGTTTTTATTAATACATAAATTAAAAAATACATAAATACGAAAAAAAAGAAATGAATTTTTTTTATATTTTATAATAATATTTTATAATATTCCCATGGTAGCGTATCGGTAGAATCTGGAATAATGTACCGCTTATCATCGTATGGACCGAGAGCGATTTTCGTTTCGCGTAGATTTGATGTGATAAATAAGGCTGTCCGTGTCGATATACTTAATTTTACATTTTTCATATAAGAGCGGTAATACATAAATGGTGAAATTCGTATAAACACGTTTTAGATATATCGAGGATACACATACCCACGTATCGGTTTGTCGAACTTCACCTCGAGTTTTCGCATTTCTATCGTGACCAGATTCTCGGAAAAAATGCTTATACTATGAAAGTTTGATTTCGCGATCATTGCCTCTATATCGTATCTCCCATCCCAATGCATTACGAGTCGCACATTAACATGGTTAGGCACATTTTCCATGGTCTTGCCAAAAACCGCGTTGTTCATTAATTTGAATAAGTTTTTCTCGAACTCATTTTTTGCTAAAGTTTTAAAATTTGTATTAAGTTCGATCTACTCGCGAAGCCATGGATTGCGCGAATTGCAGTATACTTGTAGGATGAATCTTTATAATGCGGAGACCGTGACGAGTACATTGCTGCAGATTGTGATAATGTATGACGTAACGCTTTTTATCATATAATATCGCGAGAAGCTTCTCCTCTCACTCCTTGCCAGGTGATTTCTCGCGCGTTGCACAAAACGGTAGATCGGAGTGCGCATCATGGACATGTTGCGGATACTCCAAGTCAATCTCGAGAACGTAACCCATCGGTGAATCTACGCGACATTCATAACATCAAAATTGTCTACGTCATCGGCCCAGCGAAAATCGGTAATGGTTGACACATTGTCCAACCGTACAGGTTGTTGACGTCATAATACAACAGGTATGTCGATGGTTTCGATGGATCGTACCTCATGTACTTTTTGTTGGTCTGCGCATACTTGTTTGAACATTGATTCAGACCGCCACGTATATCACGTTCAATGAATAGAACCATGTCAATGTCGGTAAGAAGTTCGAAATTGACGCAAGTATGTTTCAACATCGCGTTCCACGTAAAACTCGGTAGTGTATAATAATATGCGGGATTGAGTCCATAACTGGTGATGCAACTATCCCGAAAATTTTCAAATATATCGGCCAACAACAATACATCTGTTTTTAAATAGATGTATAGATCACTGCATTCACCGAGTGTTTGAATGGTGAGCCACTGCCATATGTTCACGGCATGCGCGTAATCGCTCTCAGATACAATGTCGCCCGTTAACGAATTATAAAACGATTGGTATCTTGTGATCATGTGATCTTGGTATCACGTGATGATATCTCAGCTTCTTCCAATTTTTCGACGCAGTCAACGTACTCGTACGGAAATACACCTTTATGCGTGAGTAGATCGAAATCCTCCAGAGATTAAGAAATTCTGACCGCGTAATTTTTAATTTATCTTTATCGAGATACGACGTTAATTTTTCTAAAGTGGTACTGAGAAATTTAAATGAATCGATAAATCGTAATTTTACACAAGTTTTTTTTTTATTATTTTTGGTGCTATCGACATGTTTCGTAAATAAAATGTATTTTTCTTTAGTTCTGTATATCTTTTATATGTGATAGCTATATTCTTGATAATAAAGTGTGCGTCGTAGCCCGATAAATTATGAAAAACTACGGGAATGTAATGTGAATCTTTATAATTTAAGTTGCAATTTGAGTGCACGGGGCCTCTATATCGCCCTGTCAAGTGGCAATGATCGCGTACCCGTGTATCGTCAGGTGTGAACGGTTTTTGCACACGTGGCAGTGCATGACGCTGTTAACCTTTTGCCAATCTTTTCGCGAGAAATCTGCCATTGGCCGAAAATATAGATTTTACACTATGCGCTAAACTTCTGAGTTCCTCGGCGAACCATGGGACGCAATCGTTACCGCAACGAGACCGATACATCGATCAGAGACAATATATTTCAATCTCATCGCATTGCCTAAGAATAGACGACATTTATATTATATTGACACGCAATAGAAGAAACAAGTTATGTGTGTCTATAATCTACATATACAATCAAGAGGAATACATGGTTTTCGATTACAACATTCCTATAACATTTATTCTAAATTGAACGAGTTTGATTATTAATGATGCGACTGAGAGGGAACTTTGATTTTTGTATGTCTTAACTATGTAATATTTCCACCGTTTTTGTTAATAATGATCCAATAGGGATCGAAAAATTTGTTTTTTGTTTGTTACCGGCAAATTAAAGTTTATATTTTAACTAGATGATATGTTTTATTTATTAACGGTTTAATAATTTTTATTTTATAACGACTATTTTAGGCTTGTAGCTCTTTGTCTTTCTGTTTTTTAAATTTATTGAGCAATATTTTCAAACATTCCTTGTATCGAGTGGACCATAACAAACTGTTATATAATTAGTTCATAATTATTTCTATTATTGAATAGACATTTTACATACTTGCAGTTGTATTGAATGGTAACCTTTCCGATTAATGTAGCTTTCATCATGGATTTAATAATTCTTATGTATGTGCCATCGATGGCACTAATTACTTTTGGAAATTTATATTTAGTTTTATATCTGTCCATGACTATTCAGCTTCCTCCCGATTTGGCCATTTAATAAACTGAGATGCCAAAACATTAAATGCTGACAGACTTTTTTGACACTATGCCAAGCAGTTGCCCGACCAACGTCAAATCAATCACAAACAGATCTGTTAAAACATTTTAATTTTTATTAAGAATAAACATTTTTATTAATTATGATAAGTAATAATATAATATATATAATATATATAATATATATTTAATATATGCTAGCATTTATTTAATATAATTTTTTAGTTTTCTTGCTATATATAATTACCTATATGAATTTGGTGTTGCCATAGTCCATATTGTTATCAATAATTCTAATTCTGAAGAAATCGTTTGTCGGCCGTATCTTTTCGATTTTCTTTTCAAGTCTAGGACTAATTATATTTAATAAGTAATTAAATACTTCTCGCGACGTCCTAAAATTATAGATTATATATTAACTTTTATACAATTTTTTTTTGGACTATTATACATTATAAACATTACAAATAAATAATAAAGATAGACATTTTAATTGCATTTATACAGGGCGTTTTAGAAATAGTTGGCCAAACTCTAAGAGCATATTTCACTCATTGTAAAGACAAAAAAAGTCATATAAACATGGGGTCAGAAACGCTTCCTTTCTAAGTTATAAACATTTCTTTTTTTAAACTCTTCTATTTAAATTGTACGTATTTACGACGGCCTCGCTTCGTTTCATTTGTACCTTCTAAAGTAAACAAAGAGTTATTAGATAAGTCTGTATGGAATTGGAATTAATCTTTATTTAAGCATTTAAGAATGAAGATAGTATTCATCAATATAGCAGCTTATTTTAATATCGAATTGGCAGATATCCACTAGATGTATGGGTGAGCTAATAGAAACTGCAGAGAAGCTCAATGTCTCTATCAACAAATCTTCTCTCAAAGACGATGCTCGACTAAAAATACCTTCAATTCGATCCATCGTCTTAGGGAAATAGGATCTTTCTTACCCAATACAATTAATTGAGAGCGAAGAGAGAACCATTCAGCTGCAATCGAAGAGCAAGTGATTAGACAGAAAATCCAAGACTTAGACGAGACAGATCGCATTAGACATGCAAAACGTTTCTTTCTCAACTGTGTGGAGAATATTAAATAAAGCTCTTTTGCATCCTTATCACATACATCGAGTACAAGCTCTCTTACCAGAGGATTATCCATCACGAGTAATTTTTTGCTCAGTGGTATTTGCAACAGTGTACTTTTCCAAATTTTGAAGTGTTGTACTTTTTACAGACGAAGCAAATTTTTCGCAGGATGCTACAACAAATTATCATAATAATCATCTATTATCATACGAAAATTCACATGGTACGTATTATTGAATCTCAACATCAGCATAAATTTTCATGCAATGTATAAGCTGATATTGAAAATTTCCTTCTTGGGCCGATTTTTCTCTCACCTAATGGTAACAACTAGAGACAATTTTTGGAAACGCAATTCCCTCTAATATTAGAAGAATTTCCAAGTAATAAAGATAGGCGGGTTCTAACCCAGGAACTCCGAGGGGGAGATAAGGGGCAGGGGGTATCCGTGGCGCGGGAGAATCTGCGGGGAGGGGTGACGTCACTAGAAGAGGGGGTGACGTCATAAGGAGAAGGGGAGGAGGATAACGTACACTTTGGTACCATTCTCAGCAATTACAAAAATCAAAATTTAATTCCTTGCATATCTAAGGAAAATCATTATCAGATTTACAGATTTGATATTGTATAATCTATCAAAGAACGCATGGTGATCAGCTCGAAAGAAACAAGCCCATTACATTATATGCAGGGTGATTCAAAATGAATATATTATCCTTGAAATGTCATATTCCCGACTTAATTCTAAGACGATTTTTCCTTTGCCAAAATTTTGTCAAAAGCGTAGTTTTTAAATTATAACAAGAAATAATTAGCGAATGACAGGGCGCGAAGAGAAAGTAGCCAGGAGCGGCGTTTCTCACTGTCCGACGCAGATCGTACGGGGGACCGTTACGATCAGACGATCGCTACATACGCATGCATATGCAATCACATTCTCTCTCTTACACACACACACACACACACACACACACGCACGCACGCACGCACGCACGCACGCACGCACGCACGCACACGCACACGCAATTACCTTGAAAAAGTTTGATGACTTCGACATGCTTGAGAAACAAGAAAAACTTCCATCGAGCATTGATGGATCATGTACAGCTCCAAATTTTTGTCAGTTAAACTATTATTCCTCTAACACAAGTTTAGAAATCACTCGTTTCCATTGATGCACGCAGATCGAGTAATCATTAAAATATTTTGTTTCTTATAAAACGCATCACTTCGATACATTTACGCTCAGCGTATAGCTATTCATTAACTTGAAGAAAACGAAGTATTTCAATGATTACTCAAAAAATTTATTACTGTATCTCTATCAGTTAAGTGTCCGTTTTACTACCGATGGTCCATTTTAATTATTATCAACTAATCATTCGGTGACCGAAAATCACTCGAAGAAAGATAATCACACGCCGCGTTTATTCGACGATAGCATGCACTCGATTTTAATAGAGAATCTGTTAGTTAATTACTATAAATCACTGCCGATTAATTATTCGTCGACTGAATATCACTTGAAGAAAGAAGCACACGATTACGACGCGTTCACTCAACTATAGCAAGCAGTTGATCGATTTTATTGGTTATGTACTAGCGCTGTCAAAACACAGACGTCTCAGTCAGAATCGAATCGATATCGGTTCGATATCGTTCGACGTCGAAAGCATCAAATCGACATCGAACCGATCAATAAATCAATATCAGAATATTTCATGTTATGTTGTTGTGCGAGAGCAAATCAGAGCGAGAGCGCTGACGTGAAATTTTTAAAGTGATGCGGCGTTTGTCTAACAATATTTCTTGCGACTCAGATCCGACTCGAAGGACCAGAAAATGTGCGGGAATGCACCGCGCGGAAAGATTCGAGTGAGAGAACGGTACACGGTTGATATGATACACGACAGAAAAGAGAACTCCGTTTCTTTGTAATTTAACAAAAGAATTTTCTTTAATATGCTCAGTTACAAAGTCAAAAAATATAATTAATTAAATATTAGATTAACAGAATATTAAATGCGGTCACCTTTTCCAAATGATATTTTGGAGTCGCGGTAATGGAAAATCTCGGCGATTTTCTCGGCACTTCTCAAAAGATTCGTTTTATAGCGGTTTCACTAAGCGGTTAGCACGGCGATTTTACGAAGCGAGATTATGACTCTAAGAACTCTAAGAACTTTTAGACTCTAAGAACTCTAAGCAGGAGGCCGGCGAGATCGAAGCATTTATTGCTTTCGGCCTGGGCTTTCTTCTTGGGAAAAAATCCAATAAAATTTTGCCACAATCGCAATTATTACGTGGCATTAGGTGTACAAAATTGATTGGCGCTTTGGATTCTTTTCTAACGACGTTCAACGTAACAATCATGCGCGACAGAAAATCCGTGGGATTGGTGCGTGGGATTGGTGACAGCGCGTGACGTATTCGTCGGAGCGCGGCGCTCGCGTGCGCGAATTGAATCGTTCTAGAACTTTCGATTGTCCGTTGCCGGTAACGACAACTTGTTTGCGTGCAACGACTTGTTTTTAAAAAGAACAAAGAACGCCAAATCGCTGATTTTAACGAGGATCATGCTCGAGATGAAATCACGAGCTCAATTTATGCATGCGTTCAATGACAATTAATGTCGGTCGACTGAAAGAATTCTTGCCTTTCTTTCGAATTACCGATCTCAAACACAAGCCGTAAGTCATAAAAAATTGATCAATCACAATCAAATATAAGAAAAATAATCGATTATGACTGGTTAATTTTTTACGGCTTACAGTTCTATTGTGTAAGGCCTTAGTTAGCGATTATTAACTGACATTGATTGTTGAGATTGTTTGTTTTCTTAAAAATGATTTTCAAATTTAGTGAAGATATTCTGTTGAAAGATAGGATTCGAATGTAGCTTCAACTTCAGTTACATAGGGCACCACCCCACTTCGATATAAATATGAAGCGACAGTTTAGTAGAATGTTCCCAAACCAATGAATTGGTAGAGACGATCCTATATTATTCTCTGCGATACTTGATTTAACATGTTTAAACTATTATATCTTTGGGGAAGAGTAAAGGAGCTAGCTTATGAAAGATATAAATGATGTACACACACACGCACACTCACACGCACACGCACACCCACCCACCCACACACACACACACACACACACACACACACACACACAGACACACACACACACACACACACAGCACA